ATTCTACAATTACACTAAGATTTAATAATAAATAAATTACAAAATTGATAAACTTAGTAAATTTTTTGTTGAATCAGTATTCTCAATTTCAGTAATCTAAATATTGAATGCATCAGTATTATTGTAAAATTCATTATAATTTATTGAATCATTCATATTTAAAACTTTAGTTAATTGTGACATAATATTTAATATTCTACTTTCCATAGTTAGATTACTGACTATATTAATATGAGGTAATAAAGCAATAGTTTTATCAATATTTTTAATATTAATTAGGAAATATTGAAATGCTATTTTACTTAATTCATTAAAATTAAATTAATCTTCATCTAAATATGATTAATCAATAATGAATTCATTATAATAATATGAAAATTGAAATGGTAAATTTTCATAGTTTTAATTTTCATGAATCTTCTCAAAATTAAAATACAATATCAGGAAATTAATCAAAAATCCTGATAATATTAATAAATAAATTAATAATAGAAACAATTTTGTTGTTAAACTCAATCCCTTTTAATCAGATAAACAATCTTTAATTTACCTTTTAAGTGCTGTTGTATTATTTTAAGATGATCGACTTCCTACTGAACCATTATTATATTGTACATTTTGATCTTATGCATGATCTTTAAAATCAGATTCTGCTTCACTAAAATCATTACTCTTTTCTGAAGGATCATTTTAAAATTCAATTATTCTACCTTCAAGTTAATTATCACTATTTTATAATAAAAATGGATCTTTTTGATTATTTTGAGTTGTACTATTAATATTAACAGTTGCTAATTAATTTCTTAAATCTTCTATCATTTTAATATCTTCTATTAAATTTTCATATTCTAAATCACATTCATTTAGAATACCTCCAGGAGGAGAATTCAAAGATGATAATACAAGATCTGTTTTTTAAGTTGGAATTTCATTTTATGAAGATAAATTAATTAATTATGATGATCTATTTCTTAATAAAACTAATTATCTACTGGATATCTTTTAATTCATTAATTGTCTATATTCAGGAATTTCAACAATTACTAATCTAAATATATTTAATATATAATTTACCTAAGATTTATAGTTATTAAACTCATTAAATGTATAGAAATTTAATAAACAACATTATCATGTGGTAGACTCTCAAATTATTTAGCTATATTTGATTGTACATTTGTTCTTGAAAATATATTAGATCTTGAACGTATAAGACTCCTACTCATTTATTTAGCAATTAATGGAAGAATTAATTAACAATCAAATCTTTTGTCTAATTTATCAAAATGATCATCAAATAAATTATCCCATATTTTAGCTAATTCAGGAATAAAAAATAAACAATCTAATCCTTTTAATTAATTAAGTTCTAATCCCAAATGTTTCTCAAAAACATTCTCAAATAAATTCTATGTTAATTCTTCAATTTATCCTTATTCATTTAACATCATATATCCATATGTTAAATTTACTGGTGTAATTAGAGCAGTAGCTCCAAATTCAGTTGGACTTGCCTCTATTCTTAATCTAGTATTTATAGGAACTACAAATTAAGATTTAGTCTTTCCTAATATTACTCTTACAGCACTTCTAACTACATTTATTCTACCTCTCTCAACAAAATTATCCAAATATAAATCATGATCATTTGCTATTATTTAAGGCATAAATCTATTTATATTTTGATTTTATATCTCTTCATCTTAAAATCCTATAGCTTTTTAAAATGATCTAGTGTATCTAATTACATTTCCTCTTGGTTATAATAAGGTAATTTGTATCACACAACTTCCTGGATCATATATTATCTTCTCTGCTGATTATAAAAATTGCATCATTATTTAACCTTCTCTTCTATATAATTTTGGTCTTATTTTATTATAATTGACATATTTATGAAAAATGTTAAAAATTGTATCACATTCATTATTTTAAGGATTTGTTTTAAATAATAATTAAAATTAATTCTCAAGGATTTTAATATTTTTTATTAATTTAAATCCTATATCTAAAAGCATATCCATATCAATAATCTAAGTAAGAATACAACCATAAAAGTCCTTCTATATTTAAATGATATACCTTTTCTTACTTTACAACTAAACATAAGTTGGATTTTAAAACATTCAATGATTCTTCATATTGGTAAACTTTCTTAAAAACAAACTTTTAATTCACTAAATCATTTTTTTTAACTAGATCACTAAATTTTTATAAAGCATCCTATTTTAATTTATTTATAATGGCTTATTATTTTAAAGGTTATTCCTTATAATTTTATAAATTAAATATATACTTTTTCAATCATTGAAAATCTAATAACTTCATAAATTGCTTCAGTTGGCACTTTCTTAATTTAAACTAAAAAGTATATATAAATTAAAATTAAATTAGTATTTGGCTTTTCAATAATCTCATCTTCAAGTGTTTATCCAATCAAACCTTTAGCAAATTATTTCATTGACTCTAAATTTTAAAAGGAATCCATTTAAGTAAAGAAATCTTAACAAAAACACTTATATTTAAGTTTAATATTTTTCAACATCTTTCTTTCTCTTTACATTTAACATTCTCTTAAATGACTTGATATAAATGTGTAAATTTCTAAAGATTATTTTGGATCAAGTAGTCTTTATTGTTTTTTCAATTCCACTTATTGTTTAAATATAATATACAATCTTCTTATGTATTTCTCTAAATTTCTAGTCTAATAATTAGTATTTTTTATATCTTATCTATTTAAAATTTCATTTGTTAAAAATATTAATGGAGGATAACATAATAATATTAATAAAACTATGCTTATCTTTAAGGTTGGTTAACCATATTGACATATCATCAATACCAATTAATAAATTATTGTAAAAACAACAATTCTTAAATTTAATCTTGAAATCCTATAATCTATATAAATTTATTAATTGTAGTCACACAGTATTTAAATTACTGATTTTATTATTCCAAACAATTAAACAAGTAAAATTGATGCTTAAATACCAGATATAAATAAAACTCTAAATTACTAATTATTATATAAATATACATTAATTAAAATGCATAAAGTAAATGCAATTTTTATGATTAAAATTTGCCTAAATAATCAAAATTCTTCATTCTATGATCAAATTAATGCAAATTTATAAATAATCCTATTGTTATTTGTTAACCAATAGTCATTATCCCAAAGATGAACCCTACCAATTCAAAATAATAGTAGTTTTCTACATATTTTTAATTAATACAAAAATTGAATAATTCAGTAACTAAACTGAATCCACAAAATAGTAATGGGATTTACAAAATTCCATGATGAATCTAAAAAAAGAAAGACAAAATAATATTTATTAGATGATTCTACTCAACTTTTGTTTCAAGATTCTAATTTAGTTATTTTTAGTTTTACTTATTCAATTGCTAAAAATTAAAGGCCTTAATTTTTCATCATAACCACTTTCAATTTGAAAATCTAACATAGCAGTAGTAAAATGAATAGGCTTTACAATAGAAATCCAAGAATAACAAATATTATTCTAAGGTTGATTGAATTTCCAATCATTGTGTAAAATCTAATATATATAAAATAACTTAACCTAAAGTAATCTATGAAATTTCTTATATGGTTTAAAAACTAATCATATTCAAACTCATTTAGTTTATATGTATAAATTGATAACATTTGAATATTCTCAATCAATAAAATCACAACAGATATTTTAAAAGATTTCCTCCATGTTTCTTTGGCATTCAAAAATTCTTGAACATAATAGCTTTTCATCTAAAAAATAATTTTGTTCATTTTTTAAATAAAAGAATAATTAATTAATATATAAATTCTAATTTTTAATAAATTCATACATAAAATTAATTATTAAGATCATAATTTGGGATTTGCTCATCAATTAATTTATTTAATCAAGCTTTATTCCCACATCTTTAATTATTATTCTTTCTATCGAAGCTCTTCTTCTTTCAATTTTATTTAAGCATGTTTTTCTTTTAACTTTTTCTCCTTAATCCTTAAACTAATTAATGGTAATTTCAGAATCTCCATTACACTAGGTCTTTTAGATGGATCTACAATAATAAACATAAATTATAACCAGCATCAAGCATTGAAGTAATTAATTGATGTAAATCCTCAGAAAATCTTAAAGGAATTCTATCAAATTAACCACTTTTTATTTTTATAGCTAAACTCAAATGATTTGTTGCTTCAAATGGAGGTTTTAAGGCTGCCAATTCGTAAAGCAAACATCCACAAGACCATATATCACTACTTTCATCATAATAGGCTTCAGTAATTTATTCTGGAGACATATAATAGGGTGTTCCAACATGAGTTTTGCAAAATTAAGAGTTCTCACCTAAAATTCTTGATAATCCAAAATCTCCAAGTTTTATATTGTTATTTTCATCTAAGAATATATTAGCAGGCTTAACATCTCTATGTAATATTTTAGGTGTTCTATTATGACATTCATTAATAGCCAAAGATAATTATGTGAATATTTTCCATATTACATCTTCTGCAATATAATCTTTATCCTTTTTGCATTTCTTAAGTAATTAACTCAGATCCCCTCCAGAACAGTATTCAGTGATGATATAAATTTTAGCTTATTTTTTATCAATAATTCTTATTAATTCAATTATTTTAATACCTTTCGTAATATTAAACTATATTAGAATGTGTTAATTCTCTTAATATATTAACTTCATTAACTAATTAATTCTTTTCTTTTTCAGTCATAATTCCATAATGTAATTCTTTACAAGCAAGTATTTTTTAATCGCTTTTTCTCATCACTTTATAAACTACTCCAAAAGACCCTTTGCCTAAAATATTCAATTTTTCATAATGTTCTTCCATTTTTTAAATTTGAATTAATATATATATATATAAAATAGTTTTTTTAAACTTTTCTAATTTACTTATAAATTGTTGCTTTGGATAAGTTTTGAGTAAGTAATTTCATAAAAATTGATAAATGATAAATAAGTCAAAATTGAATTTTTCCTGTTCCTTCTGAGACAGGTCTCACTTAAGATGATTTCACATTTCTAAAACTTTTTTTAAGCAATTTACTACGTCTTAAAGTATGTTCAGACTCAAGACCAGAATCTCTACCTGATTCAGTGATATCGAATTTAGGAACAATGATTTATTGATACCTATATTTTTCAAAGAATATTTCAGGGTAAATCATATATTTCAATAATTAAGATTGATTATCTATTAATTAATGATTTAATAGATGCTACTATTTATAGAAATACATTCTTTCTAATATAGAATCTAAATTATTTTAAATTTAATAATGTTTAAACTTTTTATATGATTCCATCACCAATTATTAATCTTTCTTTTAGTATTCATTTAATAGGTTAATTTACATTTTTAATTTAATTTCCAAAATCATTGTATCTGCAATATCTTTTTCTGATAAAATTTATTTTTTACCATCTTATATTTATTTTAATCTAATTCTAACTTTATTTAAAACTCCTTTTAAAGACATTTAAGTTTAAATAATCTCTAAAAATGAATTCAAAATTGATTTAGTTTCCTTTTTTAATTTTTATCTTTTTTTAATTCTATACATATTTGTAATTACTTTAACAACCTTTTTCAATTTTAAAATATTCTCTTTAACTCTATTTTAATTAAATTCAATAGTAACAGAAGGTTTCATCTTTTAATATTTACGAAAAGTAGAACTTTTAAATTATTCTTCTTCTTTAATTATCATAAGATTATTTCTGGCTTTACTCATTAAAGATGCTTTCATTGATTAATCATCTATATCCATTTATTCAATAGTTTTTGTTCTTTATTTGAATAGAGTTGTTTTCTTTTTTATAATTGGAGGTTCTAAATTTAATTTTGAAGATTGATCTAATACAGAAAAGAAAGTAGTTGAATTAGATATTTATTAGAATTATGGCTAATTAATAAATTATAGATTAGAACTACTTTATTCAAGATTAGTTTAATTATTTTAAACATCACTTTTTTTTAATATTTCATCATCAGGTTCCTCATAAAATTCAGCCCATTTCCAATTATTATTATTAAATGATGATGCCTCTTATTCAATTACTTCTTAATCATATCTAGCTGCAAAATATCCTTTTTGACGATATGGATTTCTTAAAAAATGTTAATTTCTTATTTAATGATTACTATATTAATGTCTTTTAATAATTAATTCTCTATCTGGAATATAATGTAATAAAGGACATTAAAGAACTCTATGATAACTTGAATTACAACTAAAACATTTCATATGTAATGGACTCATATCTTCAAATTATATACTATCATATAAATTTCTAAATCTTTCATAATCTTCTGGAAAATCTTAAATAATTTTTAAAAAGTCATCTCTAGATAACATCAATAATTTAGAAAATCCTATACTTCTAAATCTTTCTTATGATTATTTCCCACTAATAAAACTGATAATACCTAAACTTGAACCTTTACCAACTTTGCTAACTTCTGCAATCTATGGATTTTCTAATATTTAATCAATTTAATCATTTTAAATGAATATTTAAATATCTCCAAATTCAACAAAGCATACATATAATTAACCTGCAGGTAATTATGGGAATATTGAATCAAAATTTATTATGTTTTCTGGTTATATAACTGCTGGTTTTATTTTATGAACCAATTTAGATTTTAAAGCATCACTAAAATTATTTTTAAATAAAGGACATTCATTTAAAATCATTGAATTTGATTAATTCATTAATTTTTCTCTTAAATTTTCTGATAATTAATTTATAATCTCATTTAATTCATCATTTTCTACTTAATTTTATGATTCCCAATAATAATTTAAATATTCTCTAATTTAATATTATAATTAATATTCTATTTTTCTATTTTACATATAAGTGTTTATCTTTCTCATCTTTCTCATCTTCTCTTATCCATAAGCAGATATTGTATCAATAATAGCTCCTACAGTACTTACACTGTAACTTAATTGAATACTACAAATCATCATATATAGAATAGCAACTATTCTTTCTAAATAACTAATAGGTACAACATCTCCATAACCTATAGTGAACATTGTGACAGTAGAAAAATAAAATGAATATAAATATTAAACTGACCAAGTTTCATTCTAAATGTGATAAAATTCTAACCAACATCCTTTCTCTGAATACAATTAACTATAATATCCAACCTAATAATTTATTAATATTATAAATTACAAAGTACCAAAGACATGAAAAACAATGTAAAACAAAGAATAAAACTAACAATAATTTTAATAATTCTAATAAAGAACTACTTGGTTTGGATAAATTTAAAGTCTCTTCTATTTAACTGATTAATTTAGGAATATTTCTACATTGTACATAAAATAACAACATTAATAAATCCCACCATTAATTCATAAGATTAAATCCATGTTTTGATGAATTAAAAATTATTGCATAAATAACCAAAATAAGTATTGAAATAGCTTCTAAACCATAGCTTTTACTAATTACATTTTTAGCTATTGTTGCTCTATTACTAACTATTTATCCAAATTAATAAAATGAATTATTAAAACTTAAAATGAAATCTATTACTAATAACATTATCATTAAAATAGTAGGTGTAAATAATTGACCATAAATGATTTATTATTAATTCCAAGCTAAATCCAAAGGAATTGTAAATAGAAAATATAATCTACTTATCATTACAACACAATCCCATACTATTTTTAATCTAGATTCTGGAGTAATTAAAGGTATCTTTTCTAATTCTGATTCTATTTTCTTATATAAATTATTAGTACAAGTTTTTAATTAAGAATAATGTTTTGATAATTTTGCTGTGAATTCTCTAGGACTAATAATTTTATGATCATTACTTCTTTTTCAAACTCTAATTTAAATTATCATGAGAATTACTAAATTGACTAATCATAGGTTTAAGATTAAGAGCACTATCTCTAAAAAGTTTCAAATTGAATGATGAACCTAAATCTTTAATTATTCTATATTAATAGAAATTAAATTATGCATTTATTTTCTTTTTCCAACTTATTCGATTTATGAATCTCTTAATAAAGCAGAATTAAATAACACTGTATATTTGTTATTATTGATGTAATTGTTGAGGAGTTTCAGAGAGTCTAATGCTCTTTCTATTAACTAGAAATTGAGTAGATGGACTATTAAGAGTCGAATCAAATTAAACTCTTTTGCCTTCATAAGCTTTTTACTAGGAAATTTGACTATTCTAATTATGATTGCTTTGAATTTTTGAACCTTGTATTGAAAAATTGCCTTCTGATAGTGAATAATTAAGGAAATCCTGAATTTCACCAATAGGTTCATCAGTTAACATTAACTAATTCAATTTTGAACTTGGCTATTCAGTGTCTTATTAAATTTAATTCATATTTAAATAATTGCCTGAAAATCAAATATTATATTATATAAAATTATATTAAATTTAATTTAATTTTAATACATCTCATAATAAAAGGTATTTTTTAAAGTTATAGATTAACTTTTAACTATCTATATTATTGTCTAAATTCATATAATAAATTGTTTAAATAAAAATAAATTAATAAAAGATAATTAAATAAACATATTAAATTAGATTATATAAGTGATAAAGAGATATTTATAAATTAAAAAAAGTAAAAGTAAAAGTATATAAGTAGAAAACAATATCATTATAAATTGAACATAATTATTAATTTAAGGTTATAATTTATCATTTTTTAGTATTATATGAGCCACAATTTGAACATTTTAAATAAATGTTAAATTAGACACTGCTTTTAGCTTAGCAATCAGAACATATTATGTCTACAACTTATTTTAATTATTCTTCACTTAATTCATTCTTCATATGCTCATTAATCTAATCCAGATCTTAGATTTCTTATTAAGTCATTTTCTAACTTAATCAAATACTTATATACATAAATTGCGACATTGCAATTGGGACAATTATATAAGCCCTTCTTTAGCATTTTTTCCAAACATTTTACATGAATAAAATGAGGACAATTAGTGAATTATTATATTAATTAAGTTGAATTTTTGAGATAATCCATACAAACAGCGCAATTTTGTTCAAAAGCTTTTTCAATACAATTATGTTAAGGTTTTATTGAAATTGATAAACAAACATCACATTTTTCACAATGAAAAAATTCTTCTCTCTTTCCTAATCTACACATTTTACATTATTCACAATGGAATATATTTTTTTTTTTATCATCCTCATATAATTTGCAAATTTCACAATAATATCTTGCAAATTAAATTCCACAATTATTGCATAAATTAGAAGGTGGTTATTCTGTTAAACAAGTTCTACAACGAATTTCTTTAACATTATATCTATCCATAGTTTCAACTTTGCAACCATCAGATTTAGGTCCTTTGTAATTTTAATCATGACATAATCTACAAGGATAATATATTTAACAGCATGGAGCTTTCTTATCACAATTTCTTTTATAATGTTTACAATTTATCTATTTTATCATTAATTAAATATTTATTTTAAATAACAAAAATTATTTTTGATAAAGTTTTTCATATATCAAATTAATTTAATTTTAAGTAAAACTCTACCTATTTAAATTTCTTTAACTTCATCATCTATTAATAATTTATCAGGTATTATTCTCAAAGTTCCAAATTTACTTTTCTAATCCTAAATCCACCAATTATCATTATTAAATGAAATATGAGCATGATTTCTAGATACTGATATATCCTAACATCTCACTTCACTAATATGTCCTCGACCAATTGATATCAAATTAGTTCCAAAGGCATGAATAAATATTAAACTTTTTGATAAATTATCTTAACGAGTTATCTATTCAAGAATTATGTATGATCCATCCATTTTATCTACTTAAATCAATTGAAGTGGTTATTTTTAATTCTCAATATAAACTCTTGCTGGCAAAGGTACTTTACATATCTGTATGACTCATAATAATATTACTTCGCATTCTAATGCTTGATTCCAATTATACTATACTGTGTTTTAAGTTTATTTACGAGTTATGCGGTTACTAAAGTTAATCCATAACTTTAAGCATTAATAATGAACATAGGACATGTGACCTTAACAACCACACAAATTAGTAAGATATGGATTAGCTGGATCTTCAACCTATTCCAAATCTTCCATTAAACAAAATTTGCATTGTCTAGTTACTTTGTTCTTATCAGATTTAATATGACGATCTAAATTATAATGGTCTTCTGCAATCTAAACCTTATCTCCAATATTTAGTTCTGATATGAAATATTCACTACATTATTTATATGCTTTTTACATTCTTCCAAATTTAAACAACTCTCCAACTTATAACTATTATTTATATTTAGGGTCCAATTTCACATATGAGTCTATAAATTTTGGATTGCTATAATAATCTAATTTCATTATCATTAATACATATTTAACCATTCTCAAAATTTATCTTCCCTATACACTTTTCATTTTGTGTTTTTGACTATTCAACTACATCTTCTAATTGAAAAATAAACAAAAAATAATACTATTAAGAATTAAGTACATTGAATTTTCCACTATTATTTTAGTAATCTTTAGGTCTTTTGATTCATAGTCAAATAGCCCATGATTATTTTAAGTCCAAGTTGCAATCTCTATTGAAACTTACATTTATAAATATATCAATTATAAAATTACTAATAATCCTTTCATATAAGATAAATTAGAATATATAATTTCACTATATATTTATAACCATTATCATTCCCATACTTTACATGCTTAAAAATAATGAATATCTATCACTAATAAATATTGTGTACTTCTAAATAATTCTACAAAGTTAATTCAACAAAAGACATATATATTTAATTATTTAATTGATCTAAATTAATAGATCTTTAATTATAATATTATTTAAAGTAGTTTATATTGAATAAAATCATTTAATAATTTTTTTTGATTTATTATTTTTTACTTCAACTTAATAATCAAATTACAATACAAGTGAGATACTAAAATGAATGATTTATTTTATTTATACTGCAAATTCCTTCATTAATCCTTATTTATAGACTTTAGAATATTTATAATTTTGTTGAAAATTCAAATAGATTCTAATTTAAATAAAGAATATCCATTTAAAAATTCATAAAAAATGTGAATTAGGATTTGTATACAAATTTTTCTAAATTGGTAATATTTTTACTAAAATTTTATTTATTAAAGTTTTCACTTTTTAATTTCTAATTAATCATATCTTATTGAATCTTGAATTTATAAAAATACCATTTCATAGTAATCATAAAAAATTGTTAATTAAAAATCTAACTCATTTTATATATCCTTAGAACTAATTTATTGATAGATCATACATTAATTCCACCAATCTCAAATCCTTTAGTTTTTTTTGATAAATTGATTCATCAAAAAATATAATAAACTCATTTAAGAATGCTGTAAACTTTTATTTGAAATTGTATTGATATTACAAGATTTTTAGATCCATCTATTCCATTTAATCATATAAGGTAGTCAAATTCATTATTCAAAACTTGATTGATTATTTGATTGGAAATATTGCTTTAATATGAGTGATAGTTTAGAAAATTCTATTTAATTGAATATTTTTGAAAGGAATTTTTTGTTATAAATATATATTTTTACTATAATTAATAATTTTTTTGCTCCTTTTTTTCTTCAGAAATTTATAAATTATAATTTGTTTTTAAAAACTTATGGCTCACAATTCAATCATAGATCATTAATCAAATAGCACTGATCATTCAATTGAAAATCTGTCTGATTAAAATTCTGAAGAATCTTTCGAGATTGTCTAGCGAAAATTTAGATACAAAAAATGCTATTAAGAGGAGGAACCTCTTAAAAAGAAGAAGGACTTTTGCCGAAATTACTAAATTAATGGTAATTGTAAATATGGAGATTAAGTAATTTTGTTTAAATCTTAATTAGTGTTTTTTTATTCATACACCCGCAAAAACTGAAAACAATATTTATTCAACAGCCTGTACTAAGACTAAGCCATGTAAACGCTATTTTAGTGGATTTTGTTGTTTTGGACCTAAATGTTAGTTTTTACATAATGAATGTATTGATCTTGTAGAATAGAGGGAATTTGTAGAAAAGTAATTTAAAGAATTAAAACTAATGGTTCCTTTGCATCCAAGTATATTTTGAAAGTTAATTTTTAGAAAAACTAGATTAATCTATTAGATTCGATTTATAAAGATTTCATCATCTTTATAAAATTTTTGGAAGGAAACTAAATTTTAAAAGAGATGATTTAGTAGTGAATAGTTGTAAAAGGTATTGATAAAATAAAATAAATAGTCGATTAAAAATATTTATATCAATTTGTAGAAAATAGGATAGATTTGAATAATTGTTGATGTCTAATAGTACAAGTAGAAAGGAGAGTGAGCAATGTTGATTACTTATAGTTATTATTTTATTATTAATAACTCTTATCAATTTCATACTTTAAATGATTTTGTTAATGGATATAAATTTAATCCTGATTCTTTAAGTTCTGTAATCTAAGATTATGCCCAATTGTTAAAAGCATCTTTTTCTATTTATGATCTAAGTTCCATTTATTTTGATTCCTTTAATTCATTTAAAAATTAATTTCTTCTCATTTATTTTTTAAGTTCCTTTATATATATTTATAGATAATAATTACAATTTGCATTTTTTAATATTCTTGAACTTCTTTATTTCTTCTTTTCAATATTTCTTTTTATTGATCCTCTACAGTAGATAATTATTCTAATGCACTTATTTTTAATTTATGTTCTTATTATAATTCTTATTATTCCTTTTCTTTTTATTTTTCTTTCAATTTTAATTATTATTATCTAAATTGTTCTCCTTCTTATATCATTTATGATTTTTCTAATTCCTTTTATTTTGCTACTTCTTCATCATGCTTTTATAATTCTTCTGCATGTTTTTATACTCTTTACATATAATCATCTTCTTATTTTTTCAATTATGTAACTCTTATATCATAAATCTATTGTCTAATTTTTAATTATCTTTGTTTCTTTTCTATTTCCTATTTAAATAATTAAAAATTACTCTTTCTTTTCTCATTTCTAAAACTCTATCTTTTTATTATTGATATTAATCTCTTTCTTTTGATTGATTCTCATCTAATTTCTATTCATCTTATTAAATTTTTTATTTAATTTAAAGTAATTGTTAATGTTCAGCTAATAATTTTTACTTTTTAATTTTATCATCTTCTTTTTATTTTCTAAAATTGTATTACCAATAAATTTTACTCTTTCTTCAATTCTTCTTCTTCTGCTTATTTCTTTATTATTTCACCTTCTTTTTTAAGTTAAATATATTCCTTAAGATATCTCTCTTTTACTTCATGATGTTATTTGGCTAAAGAATCATAAGTTTATTTTTTCAATTACTCTTTTAATTAACTTTTTTCTAATTCTACTTATTCTGATATATATTTTTATGTTTCAATTTCTCTTGTTTTTTATGCTTCATACATTAATTACATTTCTTATTTCTCCTTATTTAACTAAATAAGTTTCTAATTTGCTTTGTCTATCTCTGACCATAACATTTTAGATTTCATATTTCTCACACTTAAATATAATTCATAATATAATACTCAGCTCTTTATCCAAATATTTTATTATTAGCATCTCCTATCTAATTAATTTTTAATTTTTCTTAATAATCTGCTTCTTCTCTATCAATCTTTCGTCTTTCTTCTTCTTCAATTATGAATTTTTAGAACTTCTCCTTTTCCTTCTATTGTCTCTATTTCTCAATACGTTAAGCCCAAACCTTTTGACTGTCATAACTCTGAACACAAATATAATAAGTTATACTTTCTTTGCTTTTTATTCTGTAAATGTAATATGAGATTTTATTTATTCGAGTTCAGCAGCAGTGATAATTGTATGTGGTTATTTGATTTATGGTAACAGCAAAGATTTTGATTTGATATCACTAAACTCTGTTGAATATTTTGACATTTTATAATGATAAATTTATTATTGAATATCAAAGTTAAATCTCATGGTGTCTTTGTGAACGTCTAATCGAGGAACCACGACGCAATTCCAAAACACCAGAAGGCTTTCGTTATTCTTCTTATTAAGAGGGTTATTCAATAGATTCTGGACATATCTAAATAATGATTAAATTATATATATTTACTGCTTATTCTGGAATTAATTTTAATAGTGCACTAACAATCCATCCAAATGCTCCAATTAGTATACTAATCAACCATTATTGAATTGTTAAACCATAGTAAGTGTAACAGGAAAAGGCTATTCCTGCAAAAGTTATCAAAATTATTTGGAGAGCAAAAATAAAGAAAACAATTATTATGAATAGAGAACTATAATAAATAATTTATAATACTTATTGCAAATATTCTAGAATATATTGAATTCATCATTCAATTTTCTACTATTTAAGAAATTAAATAATTGCATCATAACAAACATATTGAAAATGAAAGTGAAATGTCTACTAGGAACCATAAATTCTCTATAGACAGGTTCATAATCATCCTCACCTTCAACAGTTAACATTCTACCACTTCTAATCATTAATTATTCAGGATAATAATCTAAATTATATTTTGGGTGATCTAAATCTGATGGAAATTAATTATAACTTTTATCCTTTAACCATTCATTGATTCTATCATCAAATTCATCTTTATATTCAGGAACAAATTCAGGAGCTAAAAATACTGCAATTAACATAATGGCAATTTGAAATGCTGCTTAACCAAATATATGTTTCAGCATTTTTCTTGTAATTATAGATTATGCTCTTGAATAAGGTTTATCATTTAATAAAACAGGACTAGGAGGTTCTGTAGCTAAAGCTAATGAGGCAAAAGAATCCATAATTAAATTTACCCATAACATTTAAATAGGTTTAAGAACTTCTTATTTAAGAAGAGCTGAGACAATTAAAGTCAATCCAACAGCTACTACATTTACAGTCAATTGAAATTAAAGGAATTTACGAATAGATTGAAAAATGTTTCTACCCCACATAACAGCTTTTACAATATCACTAAAATTGTCTTCCATAAGAATAATGGCTGCTGCATCTTTAGCAACTTGAGTTCCTGAGATTCCCATTGCAAATCCTACATCTGCCTTTTTTAAAGCAGGTGCATCATTTGTACCATCACCAGTAACAGCAACAATATGTTCACATTCTTTTAAACCAACAATCATGGCATATTTATCAGTAGGTCTAGATCTTGCTAAAACTGCTATTTATGGATATAATGTTTTAAATATTCCCATATCACCAAGAGTATCAATTCTTAATTAAGTTCCATTCTTTTCAGCTTCACTTTAAGTTCTAGCACATTTACAAGATTCTGTTTGACAATTTTTACATACTATTCCTCCTATTTTATTCATAAATTCAGCACCTTCCATTACTAATGCTTTACTATCTCCTGGTTCAATGATTCCACATGATAATGCTATAGCTCTTGCAGTTTCAGAATTATCACCTGTAACCATTCTAACTTTTATACCTGCTTTTTTGCATTGAGTAACTGCATCTTTTACTCCCTCTCTTAAATTATCCATTATTCCTAAAAGACACAAGAAAGTTAAATTATTTTTTTCAATTTAATACACTTTTCCATCATTACTTACTAAATCTTCACTTCCATTTAAATCTCTGTAAGCAACACATATAGTTCTAAGTGATTATTTTGCCATTTCACTTATAATATTTTCTATTTATTTAATATCTTATTCTGATAAAGCAATAATTTCATCATTAAATGTATGTTGATGAGTTAGACATTTTATTATTATTTCACTTGCACCTTTTATATATAATCGATTAACAGGTAAACCATTCTTTTAAGTAGATACAATTACACTCATCCTCTTTCTACCTGAATTAAAAGGTATTTTTTGAAGATATTTTACTGAACTTTTTATATTTTTATAATCAACTTAACCTTTTCTCATATATTCTAATAAAGCTATTTCAGTTTTTGAACCTTATTCTGGATCCAATTCTGCTGAAGAATTACAACAAATAGATTCAATCATCAATTATTTGATTTTACCAAAAACTCCTAAATCTTATTCTCTAGCCAGATAATTTACTTCAATATAATTCTAATTCCACATTTTAGTAAGTGTCATTTTGTTCATAGTTAAAGTTCCTGTTTTGTCTGAACAAATAGAATCAGCTCCTCCCATAGTTTCACAAGCATACATTTTTCTTACTAAATTTCTATCATTCATCATTTTTTAAACTGAATATGCTAGTGATATAGTAACTGACAAAGGTAATCCTTCAGGAATGGCAACTGCTAATACAGTAATTCCTAATATAATAAAATTAAGTATTTCCATCCAATGTTTACTATGATCCCATTCTCCTTCTATACCTCTTTCAATAGCCAATCTAATCATCAATACAATCACAATCAATATAGCAGCATATAATCCTAATTTTCCAATATCTTCAGCTATGATAGTTAATTTTTATTATAAAGGTGTCTCTTCATCCTCCTCCTATTCTAATGAAGCCTTGATTTAACCTAAACATGATAGATCTCCAATAACACAAACTAGAAAAACTCCTTCACCTTCTAAAACTCTAGTACCTGACAATAAAGCTGGAGATGGAATAAGAAATCTATCTTTTTCTCCAAATTCAGCTCCTTCACTAATCAATTCTTCTTTTTTCATCAAACATTATTAGATAGTTCCTTTTTTAATTGAATTTGTTTCTCCTGTCATAGATGATTCATCCATTTTTATTTCAGAAGCCTCTATGAGTATACCATCAGCTGGTATCTCCATACCTTCTACTAATTTAACTATATCACCAACCAAACAATTTTCTTCATGCATTCTATGTTCTTTTCCATCACGAATGATAGTCACAATTTTAGATTTCTCACTTACAGCATTTAACTTACGGAATTGCTTTTCTTTTGAGTAATCATTCAAAGCAGCAACATTAGTACATACAATTACAGCTACAAAAATAGCAAAACCTTCAATCCAAGCTAATGATCTATGTTCGTCATCAGATGTTGCAACCTAAATAACAATACTTGCAAATGCAGCAACTGTCAATATTCTCATAGTAAAGTCTCCCATTGCATCCATCAATAATTCACAATAAGTTTATGGTGGTCGAATAACTCGTTTATTATGACCATATAATTCTGTTCTTTTGGTGATATCATTACTATCTATGCCACCATTAATAGATGTACATAATCCATCCAATAAGCTATCTAAATTATAATATAATAATTTATACCTAAGCCTCCTAGCTATTAAAGGAAGTCTATTTCTTCACACATCCTTCTTCTTTGATTCAGTGTAAAGATGTTTTACAATTGTTGAGCTGTGAACTTGAATTCTCCCATTTTGAGTCTCATTTCCTCTTCTCTAACTGTGATATTCACATCAGTTTTTAAAGGTGATTGAATATTCATTAATTTAATGATTAGAAAGAAACTTGAAAATTTGAGAAGAGAAAGAACTAAAAAAATGTAAAATCTTTTACCTGCAATTGTTGCAGATAGAATGGCACCTTCATTCTTTTATTATATGTTTGAGCCATATGTTGATTTTAAGAAAATTGCACGATCAGATACAGCTTAAGTGTAACTTTCTACTCCTGAAAATGCAATTGCAAAAGGCAGAAGATGTGCAGTATAAGCAGCTCGTAAATCTAAAGCTTTATAGATGATGGGCAATCAATTAAAACTTACAGTAGATGAATAAATTGAATCATTTGCTGCACCTGAAGAAAAGGGAAATCCAATTAAATTTGAACCATATTCTCTATAAAGAGCTGCTCTGTATGATAAAGGTTGTATTACATGTGGTGGTCCAAATATTAATGTCACTTATCATGGTGAAAGACATATTTGTTTGAAATGTAGAGATCATATAACAACATTGGATGGAGATCCAGTTCTTATATTTTAAGATGATGATGGTGAAGTATGTGTTGTTGGAATTTCAGATAAAAAGAAACTCTATTTTGTTTAACTTGATGAACTAAAAATTAATGGTTATCGATGCTATGTCACTTTTAGTAATGAGAATGAAATAATTTGTTTATTACATGACTCTTTAAATGATAAATAGAAAAAGGATTTAGTTCCTCCAAGTGCTTTATGGTAAGCTGAAAAAGATGAATAAATTAGAAAACCAAAAGGCAAAAACTTTGTCATTCTTAATAAACAGCGTGTTCTGAAATGATTATATACTTCATGATTAATTATAAATGAGAAGTGTCAAGAGTGTAAATTCTAGAAGACCTATGTCTACCATACCAAAGGCTTAATCATAGATAATTGAAATAGGATTGTCTCCATAAATAAGAAAGTTTGTTCCTAGTATGCATAACCTTCTTGAAACATTATATACTAAGAAATGTGAAGAATTAAAGATTCAGTTACAACCAGACTAAATGGTGAGATTTTAAGAAAAAGTATTGAGTTAATATTCAGGACATACCATTGATTTATCAGAGCTATCTTTACCAGCTAATTGTATACCCTTAATCAATAAAGTTGTTAAAAATGTTCCTTTTGTTATTCTTTCACAAAATCCACTTTATGATGGGATAAAAAATCTTTAACTTCCTATGGTAAGTTTGACTTTATGTAATTGTGGAATAGGTCCTAGAGGTTTTGCAGTTCTTTTTCAAACTCTTTCTATCAATCAAACATTATATCATCTTAATATTGGTAATCCATTTTCTAATGAAAGGAATAGACTTGGATTAGCTTTAAATTAATTGGCAGAAGCATTGAAAAAAAATAGAATTTTATCAATTTTAGATATAAGTGGTTGTGGAATTTATGATTTAAGAAAATTAAATAGTGCTTTTGCAGAAAACAGGAATCTTTTACATATTAATGTTTCTGATAATGAACTTAAAGATATACTAATATTACCATCATATTTAGAAAGATTGGAAGCTTAAAATAATATGTTTGGATAATAAGTAGTATAAATTTGTGAATAATTGAGACAAGGTTCTGATTAGGTTCATGCAAGAGAAATTAATCTAAAAAGAAATAAATTAACTATTCATTAATTATTTGCTGTATTAGAATAAATTGAAAGAAATACACATTTAAATAAATTAATACTTGATGAAAATACATTTATAGGAGAAAATAATATTTGTATATGCAATTATCTTGTTTACAACAATCATTTAGAATATCTTTCCTTAAGAAATTGTTCATTAACTTAGAATTTTATAGAGTAATTGGCATCTGGATTATGTAGAAATGGAAGTTTGAAAACTTTAGATATTAGTAAAAATATTATGGGAGATTAAGGAGCTTTAGCATTAGTATAAGGATTATAGGGTTCATGCAATCTGAAAAGTATAATTATGAAAAGATGTGGTTTGACTGATTTAAGTGGTTTAGAATTATTTAAAATATTTCTTAAATCCAATATTTAAGAATATGATTTTTCAAATAATCTTATGGGAGATTAGACTGCTATGTATGCCATATAATTGATTAAAAAGAATAAAGATATTATTAAAATGAATTTTAAAAAAAATCTCAATTCTTATGAGACAAATTAATAAATTGAAAAATTATTATTAGAGAATATTTAAGATAGAAAAAGAAATATTATACCTCATCTTCGTCATAAAGTCTAAGGTATGACTGATTATAGAGAATAATAGGATTATGTTGATAAAAGAAAAGAATAGCTTTTTGTAAAAAAGGTTCAAGCTGAAAAGGATTTTAAATTTGCTTAATCTCAAGTAGTTTTATGTTAATAGGGAGCAAAAGAACGTACTTAAACTGTAGAAGAGAGATTAAATAAATTAAGAGAAGAAGCACAATAATTGACAATATAGTAATTGAATTTAGATAAATTTCTTTGGAATTAGATTGCAGTGATTGAAGATGAGTAGAAATTAATTGTTGACAATAGTAAAAATGAAAATGTTGTAATATTAAATTTAAACAAACAAATTTAAGAAGCTTAAGTATTAATTCTTATCATATAAAGAGTAAATAAAAATCTATTGTCTAATTTTATAAATAATAAATGGAAAATCTTAAATTGTAAGATGGAATTTTAAAAAGAAAATTAGATTAATAATAATAAGAATATAATTGTATTTAATCATAATTAGAATTTGTTAAAAAATAACAGAAAACAATTATTAAAAAATGATAATATTATTTCATTATCTATATTTACATTAAATAAGTTCATACTTATTTTACTTCAAATAAAACATTTGAAATATATTTCGTTAAATTTATCACTATATAAATAAATAACTGCAAATAAAAATCTTAATTTAAAATAATGAATAGAAAAATCACACTTTTGATATTATTAGCATGTGTTGTTTGTGTAGCAACATTCATGTTTTCATTTGCCCCATCAGGTATTATATCCAAATTATTAAAAAGATGCTGAATTGAAATTGAAAAAGAGCCACTCATTCTCTGCTTCAAAAAATCATGAATGGGGATTTGATGGATACACTTCTTATGATAAAGGCTGCCAATAAAAATGCAAAGATGCTAAGGGTATGAGTTGTGGAAAAGCTCAATAAAATTGCTGTAAAGCTAGTGAATGCAAAGAGGAAGACAATTGGTATGGAACTTCATTGGTTTGCAATGCAAGAATCCCAGTTGAAGGTTGTACTAAGCCCAAGTGAAAATGATAATATTCATTTTAAATATTAAAATCATAATTCCTTTTCATATCTTCTCTGATACAATGAAATCTAAAATGACATAACAATTGTTTTCTTCATTTTTACTCATAACATGATGTTGTTAAATATCTAATATTATAACAACATTCAATAGACAAATATGAACCAATTGTTTACTATCCCTCTATCTAATTGAAGATTATAAGGAATATTAAAACTATTTTAAATATTTCCTAATCAAATAATATTGATAAAAAGTTATGTTTTAATTCTTTGTATCTAAAGTATATCCAAGCATGTCAGACCTCAAAATAAGTATCTACCCATGAACTATAAAAAATAAATATTAAAAATAGAAATAAATATTTCGTATATTTTACATAAAATTTGTTAAATAAATTCTTTATAAGAATTTTTTGGAAAAGTTATTAACTCTATAAATTATACTATTTAAATTTATATCAAGTAACCAATACTTAATAAAATTCAAATTTTAAATTTATTTCTAACTTTCTCAAGATACTATAAATTGATTTTATTCATTGTTTTAGATAGTAAGTATTTTAAGACTAATAACTAAAATTATTAATAGTCTATAGAACTAAATAAATATAAATTAACAATAAAAAAATTATATTATTTTAATTTTATCGATAATTATATAATCTAATAATATAGAAATTAAAAAATGATGAATCAAAATAAAGATAATTAGTTTACAATAAAACTTAATTAATATGATAAGCAAACTAACTCAAAAATAAATTGATAATTTAACAATAATTTGTTACTTTTATTCATATTCTAAGCAAAAATCAAGATAGTCTCTGAAATAATCAGAAATTTTATAATTAAAAATTTCAGTAGTTGAATTTTTTAATTAACTAAAAACTAAAAGTTTTGGATAAAGTCCAGAGGTATTTTAATCAATCTTACTTCAAATAATAATTGGCATCTTAAAAATATAATTAAAATGGAACCTTACCTGAAAAATAATACTCTTTCATACTTGAATCTATTCTAAATTACTCTTTCATATAGTTTTAGCAGATTCTATGTTCCAAAAATTGATATTTTAAATATAATGATTTAACTTTAATTTCTCTCTAAAATATTCTCATTTGAATTATTGCTAATTTTATTAATTATTTTAGCGATAGAGTTATGACAATAGATTACTGTTTTACTATAGCAATTAACATATTTATAAAGATATTTGAATATGTAAGATATATGTTATAAGATAGTTATTGATATTACTAAAATAAACCTCATTCATTTAATTACATATAAGGAAATGAAAAAGAATTAAATAATTAAGAAAATCTAAGTTTAAGTTATTTTATTTTTGATAATGTTAATAATGAACTTAAATATTTACATTCTAATATAAGCTACTGAGATATTAATTTTTATTATATGATGAATTATTCTAATTAATAAATTTGCGACAAATTTAAATGTAATAATGGATATGAAAATTATTATTTTTTGAGTGAATGAAAATATGATTATATAAATACTCAACCATGAAACTTTTTTGATATTTTGTAAGGATGTCGAAATCTATTTTTGATGTTTGATCCTGCAACTAAACCATCATCTTATTTATAGAAATTTGGTTCGATTTCTGGATAGGGATAATTCTTATCTCCTAAAAAATGAACAGGTATGCTAAGATTAACTATGAAGACTTACAGATTTCTCTTCTTTTATAATGTAGGCACTCGAGATTTTCTTTACATTATATCCTCTAGGCTAACTAATCCATCTGTTTCTTTATTTGCTTAAATAAAGGTTCGTTTGCCAATAGATAAATCTTCATGATGCTTACTTTCTTTTAATGTACAATGCTTTTTTTATTTTTCTAATTTCAAAATAAAAACGTGTAATACCCAGAAGATCAGATGGGCCAGCAAAGTAATCTATTCTTGTTGCTCTTTTGTCTGAATTACAAGGTGTTAAACTAGGAAATCCTCCTAATTCAACACTTGGTTTAAATTTAAACTGAAACCGCCCTGTCGAACTTGCTTAATAAAATTGCGATTTAATGGTAAACATGTTTGTTATTATAATTAAATTAATATGGCTATGTCGATAATTCTCCAAATATTTGTTTTTTTAAATTCAATTATTTCACAAAGTAATGTCTCATTAATATGATGATCTAAAAGTAAATGTAATGATTAAATATTATTATCTAAATGAATCGAAAATAAATTAATTCTAATCATAACTTCTCTAACTGATTGTTAATTTATCATGTATAAAAAAGTTCATTCAAGCTTTTGAATAGGTTAAGAAGAAGAATATGAAAATAAAATTGGTATCATATTAATTTTAATCTAATATATTCTAAAATATATATATAGAATTTTGAAAATAATTAAAGTATAAGTATTATATAAATATTTTCACTTTGCTTTAGGAAGAACTAAGATTATAAAATTCAATTTTATAAGCTTATATATCAATTACAATTTAATGTTAAAATATTTTGATATTGACAAAAATTTATTTTTAAAAATCAATCAGAATTATTATTTGGCAATAATATTCCTTTTAATTTTTTAATTAGAAATATGATAATATATAAATTATAGAAATTTTTTATATTAAAAACAAGTACTTAAAGTATATGTAGTAAATTCGAATAATTTAATCAATTTCTTTTTGATTTATTTTTTTTGTAAATAGAATTATTATTAGTTTCAATTAATCTTTTCATTATATAGGTAAATGAAAATAATAGCTTATAATTTAAAATGAGTAGTAATTAACATAGATATATAATACTTTAATTGTTATTATAAATTATTAGAGAATAAGAAATTGATTTTATATAAAAATTTAAAAATTTAGATCTATGATTATAAAGTTCAGTTGAAAATTTATAATAAATTCTCATTCAAATGTTTAAAATATACATAATATTGTATTTCAATTAATATTAGTATGTGATACTTTCTTAAAAATTAGAAATTGATGGAAGAATAAATTATTATTTATTTTTTATATTTGATTTTAGATGCATTTGTTTAGCCATGATGAAATTAATTTATTGGAGGTATCCAAATAGAGGATTGCTAGGCCGCATAAGATGGAAAGTTAGAGTTCATAAATAAACAGTTAATATCTTTGACATCAAAGTAATTATAGGATGCTTGTAAAAAGACAGATTATTATGGTAGAAACGCTTTACATTATGTAAATGTATTACTAAAATAGGCTGCTTATAGAGGACATTATGATGTAGTTGAATATTTTCTTGATTTATAGTGTATAAACATTAATTCAAAGGATAATAAAGGTAATAAAATAAAAACTATGAAAAAGGCAACACTGCATTAATGTTAGCTTGTGTTCGAGGATATAATTAAGATATCTCAACTCTTAAATAAGGTTCTAAGTTTGCTATATGTGCATTGTTAATAGATAGAGGGGCATCTCTTTAAGAATACAAGAAACATGGAATAAATAACCCTTTACATTGGACTTGTTTTTTTGGAGACTTAAAAACAACAAAATTATTGATGTCTGTAGAACCTAGTTTAAGTAATTGAATAAATTGAGATTCTAGTGTTGTATTCGAATGATAAAGATTAGTATCCAATAGATTTGGCTTTGATGGCAGGCAAAGAGTTGGATGATAGAGCAGAAGATGAAAAGGTGTTGGAGTTTATGATAATGAAATTCTTAGCTTAAAATTTGGATAATGAAGAACATAAGAAGAGATTAGAGTTATCATCAGATGAACATGAATCATATAGATAATTACAGTTCATTAACTTCAATATTAAATCATCAAAGTAATTAGCTCAAGTAGGACTTCGTTATTTATTTTGGGCAAGTACATTAGGAAGATTAGATTTAGTGGAACCTTTGATTAATTATCGATATTCACCTTTTGAGCCATCTTATAAAGGGAGAAATGCTTTACATGCTGCTGTTTATCATAATAGGAAAGAATTAGTTGAATATTATTTGGAATCAGAAGCTGTAAAGGAGTTCCGAACTGAGAATGTGATTAATAGAATGACTAAAGATAAACCTTAGACAGCATTACATGTAGCTGTTGAGAGAGGACATATTGATATAGTAAAAACATTAATAAAGAAAGGAGCAGATCCTAATTAATATAATTTCCGTAATCAACGAGCTTTTGATTAGTCTAGATTAATTGAGATCAAGCATTTAAAGAGATAGTTATTGAATCATTTACAAAAGAATTATTTAAGATCAGGATATAATTATGTTTTAGTAGGATGGCAAAGAGGAAAAAATTAATTATTGGAATAATAATTTTATAATATATAATAAAAGAAGAATGTTGAGAAAGGAATGTTTAAATATTTGCCTATTGAATCAATTGATAAATAATATACATATTATTGTTTGAAAGTTGATGAAAAACTTAAAAACTTAATAGCTGATGAAACTAAAATGATGATATACAATTCAAGAGAAGGTTATTTATGTCCATTTGACATATCAATTCAAGAATAATTTGAAAACTTTCATCATATTCATGACTAATAAATATTATAGACTTTATTGTATGATGAATTTGATATAGATTAATTTATTAATGATGGTTTATTGATTGAATAATATCCTATACATGATGAAGAAGAGAAAGAATTGATTTTGAAATTTTGGAGAAATGAAAGATTTTAAATATTATTTGAACCATTTTAATTAAGAAAATCATAAAATAGAACATTTAGTGCTTTATCTTCTTATTTTGGAGCAGAAGTAGGAATGTTTTTTGTATTCTTATGTTTTTTTACAACATGGCTATTTTTACCTGCTATACCAGGATTATTAATTGGGATACTTCATTTAGTAGGTGAAGAATCTATAAATGCTATAACACCAATCTATACATTATGTATGGCTGTTTGGGCAACAATATTTTTTGAATTTTGGAAGAGAAAATAAAGTGAGACTATGTACAATTTTGATATGCATGTTGCTAAAGAATAACGAAGAAGGATTCCTTAATATAAAGGAGCCTTTATTATTGAAGATGTAACTCATACTATTGAAATTAAAGATACAAGAAATGTTTAATGGAAATATTTAAAATCAAATACTCCCTTAGTTATTTTGACAATTTTTATTATTGGAGGAGAATAATTTGGGTATTATTATTTAAAATAAATTAATGAAGGAGATTAAATTTATGATGTATTATGGGCATGTTTATTAGCATTTTCTATTCTTATTACAAATGAAATCTTTAACATATTTGCAAAACATACATTAGTTTATGAAAATCATTAATATTAAGATGAAAGAGAGAATGTTTATATTTTAAAAGTATTTGCATTTACTTTTTTGAATTCATTTAGTCGATTATTTTATAGAAGTATCATTAAACCAGATTCTGAAGAATTAGATTTATTAAGTATATCATTTACAATAACATGGTCTATTGTTCATTTAATTAGGTATACTCTTTATCCATTAATATCTTTTTCATTTATAAGGATTAAATTTAAATGGGATTTCAAAAAATATAAATAAAATAATTAAAAATAAATAGCTGCAGTATAAAGAGTAAGTATTTATGATACTGAAACCAGTGCCATAAATAAATCATCTGATAAAGGATTATCTTCTATATACTTTTTATCTTAAATTGAATTAAATAGAAGAATGATAGATCCTCCAAATCATGTTGAATAATTTACCTATTTTGTAAATATATATAGTTATAATAGATAATTCAATTTTGCATGGCCACTATGTTTAGTGCAGGATCTTAAATCATACCTATAGCTATTTTAATTTTTAATATTCTAAATATTGAAGGTCTCCTTTATGGTTATAGAAAATTTGTAAAGAGACCATTAGCAGCACCAAAGAAGAGTATAGGTGTTTGGAATGATATTTTATAATTAGTAGGATATATTGGGATTGTGTCAAATTGTTTATCTATTTATCAAGCTAATTAAACATAATTGAATACTTTGATAGGATAAGATACAGATACATTAAATGATTAAACTAATGTATTAAAAACGATTTAATTAGCTTGGACTTAGAAATTTTTTGTTCCTCATTGTTGCAGAACATATTGTTATTGGAATTAAATTTGTAATTGAAGGAGTAATTCCAGATGAACCTGAATGGGTTGAAGTAGTACTCAAAAGAGAAGAATTTGAGTCTGAAAAGAATAAAATAAAGTAAGAAGGGGAACATTCTAAAACTATTGAAATCAAAATAAAAAAAGAATGAACTTTGTTTTTATATATATAATTAATTTAACTGATGAATAGTAAAACTAACTTAAGATAAATGATATCAAAAAGAACTCCTTTATATGAAAGAATAAATAGAAACCCTTACGATTAGGATGTTAAATATACTAATAAATCATTTACTTCTGGTAAAAAATAATCAGCTAATAAAATAAACTCAATCATTAGTGACATGCTTTCAAAACGTTAAAGTTCTTAAGATATATAAAATCCAAAAGCATCATTAATTAGATTAGATACAAGTAATTAAAATACATCATAGAGATCTATTTCACCAACTAAACTATATTAAATGCCTGAATCACTTAAAAAAATATATAATTAAATCCATCAAAAATTTGCTGATTCATCCAATTCAAAAAATATCAATAAATAAAAATCTAAACTTCTCAAATAAAGAACAGAAGAATCTAAATTTTCAACTTAATGTACACCTACTTCAGATTATACTGAATAATATTTGAATAATCTTGTTAATTAAGAAGAATGTGTTTTTACTATTTTGGCTGTTGTTACCAAATAAAGAAAAGTAATAAAATTATGTTAGAACTTTCTAAATGCTATTCCCTAATCATAAGGTGATTGTAAAGATATAATACAATAGAAAATTGTATGTAAATAAATGCTATTAGAAAGAATGGGAATCTTTGTAATTATGCTCCAAGCATTAACTGAAAATTATAATGATGAATTATAACATATTAAGAATCTTTTACTTTATATACATAATGGTATGGTTATTTATTTAGAATTCTTAATTAAATAAAATCTTACAGAAGATTAAAAATAAATTTTATAAAATAGATTAAGTAAAATAAAATAAAATAGAAAAGCAAATAAAGTTGTTTAAGATATTACATAATTAAAGAAACATGCCAATGTTGTTCATTCATTATTAATCTTATTGTATTAATTTGAATTATGATTGTAGCATAGAAAATTCTAGTGATTTAAAATGTGCAAGACTTGAAAAATTATTATAAAATATCGATTAGATTTCATTATAATAAGGAACTATGTTAATCAAACAATAATTTGATAAAGTCATTTATGAAATCAATAAAATTAGATAAACTATAGATACAAATGAAACTGAAAAAACTCTTGAATAAGAAGAAATAGAAAAACATTTAGAATTAAAAATACCTTACTTGCCAAAATTTAATGGATATACTTTAGTAATTGATTTAGATGAAACTTTAGTTCATTATCAAGAAGTATTTTTATATAATTGATCAAGTTAGTTGATGATGGATAATTCTTAGTTAGACCATATGCTGAATAATTCTTAATAGAAATGAGCAAATATTATGAAATAGTAATATTCACAGCAGCCTTATAAGATTATGCAGATTTCATTCTAGATTTGATTGATAAAACCAATGTTATTTCTCATAGATTATACAGATAACATACTACATAAATAGATGGAACACATGTTAAAGATTTAACATTTGTAGGTAGAGATTTAAATACTACTATAATTATTGATAATATGGCTGAGAATTTCTAACATCAACCAGAAAATGGTATTTGTATTTAAAGTTGGTATGGTGATGAAGATGATAGAGCTTTATATTAATTAGCACCAATTCTATCATAAATAGTTATTAAAAAATGCAAAGATATCAGAAATGCTTTAAGATGTTTAAGAAATCAAATGTTAGAAAATATAGAAAATGGAGTTGAGGATCCTCACCTCCATTTATCATTGAATTGATATTCTTTATGATATAATTTTAAATAATTAACTTTTTATATTATTATATAATAGGTATGAAAATGTTATTATGCTTATTCTTATATGCCATATTTATCAATTGCCTAATTAAGGAATTTCAAGCAAGCCAGAATTATTTATTTATTGAAATATTTAGTGATGAATGGCTAGATATGAAAATTGAAGTAGCAGAAAACTAAGTTATAATGAGTTAAATAGCATAAGAAAGTACTCAATATTTATCCATGTATTACAAACTCAAAATTGGATTATAATATAAATTAGATATTTTTCTATTTCCAGAAAGTAATGTTACTATTCAAGAACTCTCTTATAAAAATTGTCCAAATAATTGTTCAAATTAAGGAATCTGTTAAAATTTGCAATGCCACTGTCAAACTATGGCAGCAGGGTATAAAATGCTGATATAAATGTAGAGATAGATGCCAATTTGAAGTTGTTTAACTTTACAATAGGACTCAGTATTCTGAAAGTCTAAAGCCTCATTAAACATTAATTATTGCAGTCTTTTATTAATAATCTCAATTAATAGATGATTAAAAGTATTAGTTTATATAATTTTGAGTTAGACAAGAAATTTCCAAATTTAGTCATCTTCTACTATAGATTCAAAGATTTATTTACTTTAACCTTTTGAATATCCATAATCAAATTTGATTAACAGTAAATTGATCTATGATGGATAATTGACATCAATTACATAAGAAATTGATTATTCTTTTAATTTTTAAAGATACCATATTGAAGTCAGTTATTTCTCTTTTGTATTAGTATTAAAAAATATGAATTCTTATAAATAAGATGTAGTTATAAAATATTAACTATTGGATAATGATTAAAAATTTTAAGATTTTATTTTAGTAGCAATATTAAGTGTAATTTCATTCATAATATTATTGATTATAATTTATATAGTTAGAAGAAGATGTTAATATTTATCATAGAGTAAAATCATAGAAAATTAATAGGAGGATTGTTCAGATAATATTATTATTTAATTAATGCCTATAGTTAATCCTGTAAAAGATTAAGATTGTGTAATATGTTTAGATCCATTAGATAATAGATTGTGTAGATAAACACCATGTAAACATATCATGCATGATAACTGTTTAAAATAATGGATTTAAAAATAATTGACTTGTCCTATGTGTAGAGAAACATTTAATGATGTAGAATATATACCCAAAATCTTTAAGTCAAGAAATTAAACATCAAATACTTTAATTCTCAGTCATCAAGGTTAATCTATTGTATAAAGTGAACGTAATTCTGTTCGTTCTATGATCATTACTCGTACAAGATAAAGTAGATTAGCTGTTTTTTAATGAAAAATGATTATTATAAGTAATCTTCCAGAGTTTTTACATTTATATAGATTCAATAAATTTATTAGATTAATTTAATATATTTTAATTTATATATTTCATTACATTAAATAAATTAAAATCTTTTTTAATGCCTCCTAAAGTTGACCCAAATGAAGTTAGATTGATTAATATTAAAGTCTTTGGTGGAGAGGGTGGACCAGCATCAACACTTGCTCCAAAATTGGGACCTCTCGGACTTGTAATTATAATTGCATAATATAAAAACAGAATCCTAAATAAGTGGGAGATAAAATTATTGCTGAAAGTGGAAAATGGAAGGGTATTAGAGTTATGGTCAACTTAAGATGTCAAAATAGAAATGCAGATGTTACAGTAATCCCTACTTCAAGTGCATTATTAATTAAAGAAATTGGAGTATAAAATATTCACAAATTAATTTATTTAGGGTTATGAAAGGGATAGAAAGAAAACTAAGAATGTTAAACATAATGGAAATTTGACACTCGAATAAGTCATTAAAGTAGCCAGAGCTATAGAAGAGAAGTCTCTTGCTAAGACTTTTACAGGAACAGTCAAATAAGTATTAGGTACTGCATAATCTCTTGGTGCAACAGTTGATGGACAACCAGTTAAAACAATAATTGGCAAGATTAATTCTGGTGAACTTAAAGTTGAAAAATGATAATGAATATTAATTATTTCATAATATACACAAAATAATATTATAATAAATTAATAAAGTTATAGATTGTTTTTCTAATATTTATTAATTAGCTACTGTCATTAAATTTAATTAAAGTTTCTGTCAATAAGAATTGCTTTTCGTTTTCTATACAGTTTGAATAATATCAAAAACAATATTATAATTAAAAATATTAATACTATGATCCAAAATATTCTATTAATTGTATAAAATATTCAAGGGTAATATTAAATATATCATTCTCTTTTATTATATTTATTATTATGTGTTTCAAAATAATTATTTAATTAAATTTTCTAATTCTATTTTTGAATTTCATTCAATACTCAAGAGATACTGAATAATAAAATATAAATCCCATCTTAATCAAAGATTAGCCATCATCAATTTTTTTTGGAATGATATAATTTTTCTTTTTTGTTAATTAAATAATAAGAATTAGAAATTAAATGATTTGTAAATTTTATGAATAATCAAATAAGAAGTTCACATTCTCATTAATCGATATTATTCATTAAGTTTTTTCTCAATGCTTAACTTACTTTCCCCATCTTCTCTAGTATCATCTTGCTTTTCAGAGAAAAGTTTAGACATAAATTTTAAGTTTTTTTTCATTACGAATTTGGCTTAATTATTATCATTGCTATTAAAACATGAAAAAAGTGGTAAGGAAGAGAATTACTGACTAGGATGTTCCTAAGATTAAATGATTTTCATTTCTTATTTAAATGTATCTATGGCATTTGCATTATCCAGAAGGTTCATAATTTTGATTTAGTTGTATTCTAAAATTCGTTTTATAGCTTATTCTTAGCTATTTTATTAATTCATTTGCTGGTCTTCTACAATTTATTTTTAGTATTCATGTTACTCCACATTTATTTTGGTCAGGTTTCCTTGTCTACATCAAATAATAATTTACGGATCATCATATACAAACAACATGAATTGAAATGTTAGATTCAAAATCTTATCCCTTTTAACTTTCTTATTTATCCGACCCTGTTTTTTATAAACTTAATATATAGCTTTTATAGTTGAAGCATTATGCCCTGTTATCATAGAAACCTTTATAATAATATTCCATATAGTCTTACATGAGCAGTAGAGTACTTGTATTCCTCAATATAATTAATTATTAAAGCTCTCTCGGATGAGTTTATACTTTTATATTTTGATCTTAAAGCTTTCTATTTTTTAATTTTCATCATAAAATAAATCTCGACAGACAAGGATCATATATTGAAATATCTATGAATTTTCAACATTAAACGTCTTAATTATAATAGTCAATAACCAAATTTNTATAAAATATTCAAGGGTAATATTAAATATATCATTCTCTTTTATTATATTTATTATTATGTGTTTCAAAATAATTATTTAATTAAATTTTCTAATTCTATTTTTGAATTTCATTCAATACTCAAGAGATACTGAATAATAAAATATAAATCCCATCTTAATCAAAGATTAGCCATCATCAATTTTTTTTGGAATGATATAATTTTTCTTTTTTGTTAATTAAATAATAAGAATTAGAAATTAAATGATTTGTAAATTTTATGAATAATCAAATAAGAAGTTCACATTCTCATTAATCGATATTATTCATTAAGTTTTTTCTCAATGCTTAACTTACTTTCCCCATCTTCTCTAGTATCATCTTGCTTTTCAGAGAAAAGTTTAGACATAAATTTTAAGTTTTTTTTCATTACGAATTTGGCTTAATTATTATCATTGCTATTAAAACATGAAAAAAGTGGTAAGGAAGAGAATTACTGACTAGGATGTTCCTAAGATTAAATGATTTTCATTTCTTATTTAAATGTATCTATGGCATTTGCATTATCCAGAAGGTTCATAATTTTGATTTAGTTGTATTCTAAAATTCGTTTTATAGCTTATTCTTAGCTATTTTATTAATTCATTTGCTGGTCTTCTACAATTTATTTTTAGTATTCATGTTACTCCACATTTATTTTGGTCAGGTTTCCTTGTCTACATCAAATAATAATTTACGGATCATCATATACAAACAACATGAATTGAAATGTTAGATTCAAAATCTTATCCCTTTTAACTTTCTTATTTATCCGACCCTGTTTTTTATAAACTTAATATATAGCTTTTATAGTTGAAGCATTATGCCCTGTTATCATAGAAACCTTTATAATAATATTCCATATAGTCTTACATGAGCAGTAGAGTACTTGTATTCCTCAATATAATTAATTATTAAAGCTCTCTCGGATGAGTTTATACTTTTATATTTTGATCTTAAAGCTTTCTATTTTTTAATTTTCATCATAAAATAAATCTCGACAGACAAGGATCATATATTGAAATATCTATGAATTTTCAACATTAAACGTCTTAATTATAATAGTCAATAACCAAATTTTGTATTCATAACTCAATTTTACTGATATAAAGAATGATTATAAATAGATTTTTGATTTTTTATTATTTATTTAGGTTATTTCTATATTCACATATTGTTTGTAAACAAATTTAAAATTTGTAACTAAATAAGAAATGCATATTAAATATCTATAATAGATTAATGTTGAGTATATTAATTCTAAATACATAAATTATACATAAGTAGTAATTTTATTTTAAAACAATTTTACTTGATCAAAAATATAAATTTATTAAAGGTGATCTAAAAAAAATATTATTGAGGTATATGAAGTTTGATTAACTATAAGAACAGTATTTAGATATTTTGATTGACTTTTTTATAATGTTGATTCTATATTTTACTAATAACTTAATATGTTCAATGTATTTGTTTCACTTTCACATAAGAATATAATTAATACCATCTATTTGTATAGTTATTTGTTATATTACAAGTATCAATTAAAAAGCTGTATAAAATTATCATTATAGATTTCATTATTAATGAGATGCTAATATAGTAATTAGTATTCAAAAATTGTGATTCTTCTTCTTCACAATTTTGATGTTTTATTTCTCAATATTTCAATAAAAGAAACAATAATTCAGTTAAAATCAATGTTATGAGATCAAAGCTCTGAATTTTTGCAAAGTATTTTAATTTATTATATTATATTAAATAAATAAATAAATCAAATTGATAATTAATTGATGAATTTATAATTAGCCAACATCTTTGAATAATTAATTGGACATAATTAAATTCGTTAAACGTTTAAGAATAATAAGAACTATGTTATGTAAATACTATCAAATTATTTACATTTTATTCCTAAAATTAGGCAATCTTCTTCTTGATTAGAAATTGAATTAAATAAAATACATTGTTAACAAAAAAAAGAAATTTTCATTAAGAAAATACTCATATTCTTATATTAAATACTAATTCTATCAACTTAAATGAGTTCTGAAATGAAAATACTCAGACACTCTTATGAAATGTATCTGTTCAAATTAATTTGATAGATCTTTAATGTTTTAATAAACTATAATATCAATTTTTAATTAGATGAAAAAAAATCATAATTTTAGATAATGAATTGTATAATATTCCAGTTTTCTTTTAATTCAATAATTTAAATATATATACAAATTATTTTCAGGATCAATTTATAATATTTATTGATTATAATTTCTATTATAAATAATTATCATAAAATTCATTTTAAACTAAAGTTGACTAATTCTTAAACTCAGTAAAATTGAATATATTATTATTTATACACAGTAATGTCCTTTAATATATTACTGATATTCAATATATGTATATTTATATAAGTTGATATAAATTTTTTGTTTTGTCTACTTAAGATGCTCATTATTACTAATTTTTATTAATGATAATAATTATATTTAATGATTTAATGATTTCATAATTAAATGGCTTGTTTTTAGAATATGTCTTAAGCCTTGTTGACATCACCTGTAGTGAACAAATTTTATAGATTGCTAACATCTAATTTCTATAATAAAAATATAACAAATTTTAACTTAATGTTCTCCTAACACCGAATCATCAACAACAAGACTGTAATTTCCATAATACTAAAGAATCTTTTATACTTTATTTAAATTATCACCACCTGTAAAAACTGTATTATATCCTCTCTCCAATCCTCCAATAACTATTTCCATAACTCTATTAAATATACCTATAGAAAAGTTTGTAACAGTTTAAGGATCTCCTGATATGATTACATGTTGTGATCCAGAGACCTTTTCACTCAATTTTACCAAATCTTAATAAGAATAATTCTATAATTATCCATTCTTTAAGACAGCTGTAATTGGACCTGTATTTGATGGAAGAGAAAGTCTATTAAAATTTCTTGATGCATAAACTAGAGATTCCTAAATATTTATTATTTTTATACTCTAAATTTATAAGTGCCAGGATAAGAATAAAATCCAGTATGGATTAACCATTTTAGATTGCTAAATTTACTACTTTTCAGAATCTAACCAGATTAAGCTTAAAAAATAAATAAATTAAATTAATTACTTTATGAAGTCTCTGGCACTAAATTTTTAAGCACTTCAATAAATTTAGTTTCTCCTATCAATTAGTTTGGAGAAAATACAATCCCTTTAGGATTAATAACTCCAATTGTATTTTCAATCTCATTTTGATTATTAGATCTAAATGGTATTACAGTTACTCCAGCTTTAGCAGCTCCCACAAAAGCAGCAGCTGCTTCACTAGTATTTGATCGACCCAATAAAAACAATATTTTATCTCCTTGTTTCCAGCCTTATTCAATCAATCCATATGCAAAAGCACTTGAATGGGTCTCAGAATACAATTAACCATTACTTCAAATTCTCCAAATGTCCAAGTGAGATTTTAATTCTCAAACCTAAATCCATTTTTAAGAGGATTTGCTTTAGCCAAGTTTGAGAATCCTTATTAAATGGATCGTAACATTAATTATATAATAATAATTATTATTTATTATTATCTATTTCTAATTATTTTAATATATATTGATATTTATGTTATTTATATATTTTAGAAAAAATAAATTTGAAAAGAACCTTTTAATAAAATTTCATAGATCTTGATAATATTCATTATTGATAATAATTAATTTTGAAGATGAATTTTAATTAACTTATAAATTATTAATATACTTCAATAATTATTTTATTATTAGTTCTTTAGTTATATATATAATTATAAATTAATTTTATGAATTTATGACTTTCTTAAATTATAAAATAAAAATTAGTGTTTTTTATTTTCTAAGAGAGCGATTAACATGAATATACACAAAATTATTTATTTTATTCCTCTAAACATAATTTCAAATTATATTGACTTAAATAATAAATCTCTGTTTTCTCATGTTCTTAAAATATTTATATTTATTAACTTATAATTTTGAAAAATGTATAAGAAATATATATAGTAATAATTATGAGCTTTAAACACTAATTCTCTTCTTATTTTGGAATAATAATGAGTCATAATTATTTAGAAAAACCGTTAAGGGATGCTAATAACCACTATCTTGTTTTATTACAATTAAATACATTCTATTTACAGTTAAGTAGTATCTGATAGCTATTAATTGAAATTAACTTAATAATAATCCAGAATGATTGATAAAATTAATCTTAGCCAGTATTTGAATTTCTTTTATTAATCAAACAATTAAGCATATTGTTATTTTATTAATAATAGAAAAATTAAATTGAAACAAAATTTAGTTGATTAGGATCAGTATAAACATTAGTGACATTTAAAATTAATAATCAACCCTCTATTTTTACAATTATTTTTAAAAAATTATGTTTTTTTTGTCGATTAAAATTAATAACAGATCATTATGATGATTATTTTATTAATTTTAGGTTTAAATCAAATTAATGGGGTCGATTTAATTTTATTATCAATACGTGAAACTTAGAATCATTTTTATTAATTAATCGTGTTTTATTATAATGAAAAGGTTCCTTTTAAAAATAAGGGCATTTTATATCAAAGACTTCTTATCTATCAAAGATTCTAAGAAGATAACATTTAAATTGGCTGTTGTAATGATATTTTTTGAAAACCTTTAAATGATATCAGTATACACACAAAGTTTGAATACCATATCGTACGATGAATTTCCAAATTAATTTAGATCATTAATCAATTATTTTAAGTAAATAAGATATCTTATATATTAGTATATACACTTTATTTGGTAACTCAATTACTACCAGAATTATATGTGTAATGGTTGGATTTTCAATAAAATCCATATTATTACTTAAGATGCTTTGCTTAGTATAAAGTTAAGATTTATTTCTACAATAGAAGTTAACTCTTCATGATATACCACTAGATAAAGTAATAATAAGAAAAATAATAGAAAAAATAAAATTATCATTTTGAGGAATGTTGGCAATCTAACTTACTATCCTGGTACACTTAAATTAATCTTGAGGTTTTGTAAATACCAATCCTATTTTGTGCAATTAGCCTTGTTTTTGATTTGATTAGTCTCAGTATTAAATATTTTTATTTAGAAAATTTAAATGGATTTGAATATGTGGGATTGCTATTAAGCTTTATACTAATAATATAATAATTGTTATTAGGAGCACTCCTACATTTCCATCAATTTGAATACAGAATAAAAAATTACCATTTATTAGGTAAATAGTAAGGATTAAAAAATGACATTTTATATGTACTGAGGCTATTGTAATATATTTTTATTTTATTCTAGTATAATATTTTTATCTGGAAGTTTATCAAATACTATTGCTATTTAAACTTTAGGATTAGTCATTAATAGTATATAGGCTGTATTTACCTATAGATAGTTAACTTACATAGATCATAGAATATTAAGTATCTCCTTTAAGATTAATTCTTTAATGCTTTTGTATTAAATTGCATTGATTATATGTGAATTTGGATAATAAAAAATTAAAATAAGTTTGTCGCTTTTAATTTTATTATTTTATCCCTTGATTCTTTTTTTAATACATTAGCTATCTATTCGATAAGAATGGAAAAATGATTTAAAGGATTAATAATAATTTTTAAGAAGGATGTATTGGAATGTCAAATAATAGGTCTAATTTAAAAAGAGATAATAACATCAGGATTAGTAACGACTATTTTAAATATATACAATAGTTAGAACACATTTACAAGAATGTAAATAAATGAGAATGAGAAAAATATTAAAAAATACTAGTTTTTCATAAAAATGTTTTTGTTCAACTTTTTTTAATTAGAAAGACTCCATCTAAAGTATTGAATAATGTAAAGAATTTTTAAAATTATTGTTGGGTTAAGTATTAGAAGATTAACTAAAAGAGGATGGTAGTATTTAGAAGACTTTAACATATATATGTTATCTAAATGATATAAAAAAGGCACCTATTTCTGCAATTTATGAAGTAATTAGAATATCAACAGTTGAGAAAGTATATATTTATTTTTATTATATAGCTATCTTTGAGATTTTAGTAAATTATACATTAACTTTAATAAAATTCTTAATAAAGATTTAATCAGTTGATAAAAAAATAAAATTTAGTTAATTAGATTTTTGATTTTAAAAAAGCTTGTTTATTTGAAGAATCATTAAAAATTTTAAAATTAAATTTCTTCCTTATTGTCAAACAATAAATAGTAATAAATTATAATTAATTTTAGGAATTTTATGAGGTTCTTTTTTCTCCAATTATAAATGCAAAAATTATTGAGGATAAAGGGTTAATATTAGTAACTAATATTAATGATTTAGAAAATTAAATTTAACTTATTTTTAGAACAAATCCATAAAATGGAGAATGCGATACAATTTATAAATTATTTCAAAAATATTTAAATTATAATAAGTCAAGAACAAAATAGTATAGAAGGGAAGGCTAATTAACAGCTGAATTTATTTAATCAGTAGATAAAATTATTTACAATTAAAATAGTTGTGTGGTTTAAATTACATTATTATAACCTAGAGGGAATGTTATTAGATACACAAGATCATTTTAATAAGTAATAAAGTATAAAGATGATGAAATATTGAATTAAAATATTAAGAAATTTATTCCATCAATTATTGCCAATGATCATGATTAATATTTAAATAATTTTGTTGAGACTGGAAGAATTAATGTTTTAAAAAGAGAATTAAGAATAATTTTAGTAAAATTAAAATCTAATTTTGTTATTCCAATAAATACTAGATTGAGAATTGAAGTAAATCCTTTAGAATTTGGAGCATAGGCTCTTATGACACCAGTTAATTAAACATATGGTTATTTGATGCTTAATGAAAAAGGATAAATTGAAGAAATAACACAGAATATATATGAAGATATATTTAAATAATATTTAGGATTAGATTTAGATTCTGTTAAAGGTTTAGATTTCTTATTGATGATTCCTGAATTATCAAAAATATGGGAGAGTTTATTTGATGAAAACTTTGATAAATTAGACTTATATCATGAAGGTCAATTGATGATTCCAATTATTGAAAAACAAACAATTTCACCGATACATTCACCTAATTACGGAAATAAATAATTACTTAATAAAAGATTAGTAGAATATATGAAGAAGTATTCATAAAGTACACTTAAATATTAAATTAATTTTCATCTAACAAGTTTAACAACAATAAATTTAAGGTAATTCTTTTTGGTATTATTATATATAGAGTAGTTATTGTAGAAATTCCAGAATATAGATAAACTATTAATAAATAATATGCAAGTTAAGTTGAATTAATTTAAGCCAAGCTTTCAAAGTCATAAATTAACATTACATATCAAACAGAATTACTTACTCATAAATCACCTTTAAATACTCCTCCTCCATCAAAAACTTTGATGAATGAATGTGATTTAGAATATGATAATTTAATTGAAGAAAAAAAAATGATAGAAGAATTTAGGAATTAATTAGCTTCACTTACAATGAATAATACAATTTAAAATACTTATTCTAAAGAACCTATAATATAATAATAATAATGTTAGATTTCAACTGATATTAAAATTATTATGCCATCAAATGTTTTATCATACAAAAGTGAAGAGTATGAACAAAGATAGTTTCAATAAGAACATTAAATCAAATAGTAATATAATGGATCTGTTGGTAGTAGGTCTTCTTAAAATAACAGTAATACAATTAGATAACAAATAAAAAATTGTTTGTAAAACAATAAAGGATTAAGTTTTAGGATTAAAACTTTTTTATTAATATTTTATACACTATTACTAAGTGGATTCATCCTAAATTTTTGCATCTTATTAATTAATTTTTAAACAGTTGATGCAAATGTAAATTTTGAAAGTTTACCTTATCAACTCTCTTACTATTATAATGAATTTGTTATTGCTAAGGTTTATCAATCATAAAATGAGTTTGAATTCAATAAACTACTCGAAGTTTCAATAAATTATTATCAATAACATTAGAAATATATTGATGAAACAGTATCTCTTATGCCTTAAATCTAAATAATAAATGATTAAACCATGTAAAGAAGAATTATAAATCTGATATCACAAATGTCAGAAGTTTACCATAATACTAATTCAACTATATCTCTTGAAGACTATTTGAATAATACATATGCTTTTCATATTCTATTAGATTAATTTTATGGAGCAAATTCTCCTTTGTAAATTTAGAGTCTTCTTAATTAGTAATATAATCATAAATATATTTAGTTTCATACTTGAAGAAATAATACTGTTTTTACTTTTATTTAGCTATGCATATTTTTATGTTTCGATTCTAAAAATCAAAATAAAATTTTATAAATTATTTTGTACATTTTCTAGAGATTTTATTAAAGATCAATTTATTTAATTTCATTCATTGTATAATTAAATAAATCATTCAAAATTTAAAACTAATGAAACTAATGAAGAATCTTTTGAAGCATCAATGATTAGTCAATTTC